CCAATACTGTGACGTGGACTATCCCTCATGTCCAGGACAACCAAGTGGAACTGGCCATGGACGTTGCTCCACGTCTTGGTCCAGGTGCAAACTATCACGGCTTTTGAATGACAGCGTGAGAAGGGTTTTCTCCACCTCCACATGACCAAGCTTTGGGGAACTGAAGCTCTCAGGTCTTCCTCTTCCTGGAGTGGCTGACAATGTTCTGACCTTGATTTCGCAAATGCAGAATTTACGGAGTTCCACCGGCTTTGAACTCTGGCAAGCTACGCCATGCAGTTCCCTGGCGCCGTGGGTCTGCCGGTCGGCCGCCCGTCCCGCCTTGGGATCCTCTGGGGGTAGAACCTCCACCAAATGACTTGGTGGGCTCAGCTCCTGGTGACGCGAACAGAGTCTACTGGAGTGGCATCAAACAGGTGGGGGGATCGGATTAGAGTCTACTAGAGCTAGATGAAGCCAACCACCGAAAGCCAGGCTTCTGGTGCTTCCCGTAGTTTGTGGTTCATCTTTTACAAAAAAAGTTTGCATCAACGGAACTTGGAGTGTTGGGCACATAGTGTGGAGACCTGATTCTTGTCTCCAACATGTCTGGCGCGGACTGTTACGTAGTTGTTTTCCTGCGTTTCCCACTTCCCGCATTCAGAAGACTTCGGATGTTCGACCTCTGAATACTTCGGATGTTCCAACACCGGTAGTACACACGTTGGAGACTGCAAGTGCAAGCGAAGACAAGGAAGCATAAGTAGTTCTTTGCTGGAGATCTTGCACCAACCCAGTCGGCCGGAAATGGTTCTTGTAGGATGGAGGACTCTGCCTCTGCAGCCGAAGGATGGGTGAACAACTGCTCAGTCTCAGAACCTAAAACCTGGAGGTTGATCCACCAAATCTATATACTGGAGACTGCCCAAGGTGCCAATGCGTCTTGGGACTTCTTGGATTTGCTTATTTGAGACCTGGGATTGTCAGGATTTCATCAAAATAACCCTCCAACAACGGGGTCCACCAATGCTGACTAGATACTATATATATATACCTGTTTGAACGTGCGTTATGATCGAAGCGCCGTGCAAACCACACTCCTGTGGCGGCTCTGGTGCTTCGATGTTGTCGTAGAAGTCGGGGCTCCATTCCTCCGATGGCGGATTGAATAACCACCACAAAATAACGTGTGGCTTGTTAAACATTTTCTCAGAGAGTACACTTTTGCAGGCTAGGCAACCAAAGGAGCCAACTATATATAAAACTATGTTTTAAACAGGTGTTGGAGAATCAAGCCCTCTGGGATGTTGGAGAATCAAACCCTGTAGTGGCCACATTCCAGGCCGTGAATAGCCACCGGGAAAGTTTCCAAAATCAACGCTTTTGAACGATACACTAAGCATGGTTCTGGGTATCGATCTTCCGCAACGAATCCAGCTCTCTGGGCGGGTGCGGTAAGAGTCAGGTACCTCGCATTGTTGACTAACAGAACTGTCGGCATGTTTGAATTAACAACGCGGTATGGTTTTGGATGGCTTTGGGTGTTTAGATTCTCGCCGACTGACCTCTTTGTTTGTCACAAGCAAATACCAATAGAGTTGGCCTCCAGGGGTTGCTGTGAGAATGCAGAATGCACAGATCATTGTTTTAGGGATCTAAACACCACCATTGTATAGAGGTCACCAGTCCAAAAAGCTTCCTTTTGGTGTGATGTGTACTTGTGGAAGTTACGTAACCACACACACATGTCAGAATCACTGCTCAGAAACTGAAAGGGCGAACGGTTTGTCCAAAACGGCTCAGAACATCTGATATGGGCTCTCACTTGGTTTGGTCACTCTGCTCTCAACCATCTGATTAAGATTGATTGGAGCACCAAATCCATTGAATGGTCCCATCGAAGTGGCCTCCAGCTCATCATCAAAGCGGCCCTGACAGTGGTGGTTCCACACTCAGTGTCAGGGGAGTCAACTGGAGTCTGTACCAGTACCATGAAACAACACATCACAGATTTGATTCTTTACGCCACAGGGCACCTGACAGGCCTGCCTTTCTGTTCTTTATATATACGATATGTTCGAGAGCCGCACTCTGGCGGCGGTCCTTTCTATCAAGATATAGGCCATCCACAACCATAGGCCACTTGGTATGTGTAGAAGGACATCTTGGGTCAACTGACTTGTGATTGAGTCGAATAGTGAAGGAGCCAGGATCACATAAAAGCAAAGGGATCTAAGTTTAACTTAGATGATTGCATAGTTCATACAAACAACACTCAGCCCAGTGCATGAACACAGGAGCTTCAGATGCCGCACAACACTACCCTCTTGATCCTGCAAAAGGGACAGTTAAACCAGCATGACTTAACTACTAGCTACCCTTTTTGCATCCGTCAATTCGCACTGCCTAGTAGGTATGTCAGGATTTTTTCACTGGTAGTTCTTCAAAACAACAAACATGGAAAGCATATAACTTGTCTCTCATGATCTTGTTTATTTCGGGGAGTTCGGTGGTTCTCTAGACCCTATAACAAATATATTTGAGATCTGACAAGTCTGGTAAAAGCCAAATTCATTTATTACATTTTTCTGTAAACTATGTGTTCATTATGAATATATATTTTTTTTGGGGGGGGCTCCCATCAGCAGGGACCACGTTGGTGTCCTGGAATAGTATAATGATTATTCTGGGCCCCGGGTACATACCCAACATTCATTATTCCAGGGTAGTGGAGTTCAGCTATAGCGTGCAATTTTGATGTTGGAAGTTGCTTCTCCCTTTCTTCCCTGCAGTCCGTTCTCTTTTTCTAATTATTCCTTGGTCTCGAGGTTAGTGGTAACTATTATTCCTGGGTGACCCCCACTCCCCTGGCACAGGGACCCCAAGCAAAAACAAATTCCTGACGAGCATTCGAGAAATTTATTCCAAACAAATTTGTCCTGGCTGTTACATGCACCCCTGAATAATAAGTTAAGGGAGCCCCCGTTATATTTTTTATTGAAACCGATAACACAAAACCATAAACAAAACATTAAAACAAACATCCCTGGACAGTAACCATAAATTTGTCCATATCATCTCCATAAAATGTTCAAACAATCATGTGTTTGTATGAAACAAAGATGAACATTTTATGAACAACATGAAAATGACGTGGCAGTTTGCTTTATGCTTTCAACACTGTTTGTTAGCTTTATGACACCCCATATTTTTCATGACACCATTTATGAACAACATATAACAACATGTGAACAATTGAAAAAATCACGCAATCATAAATCGCCACGTCGTTGCTTTCATCAATCTTGCATTGAAGCGGTTTTTTACCAACTTGTAGGATCTCGAACAAAAATATAATCTAAGAAGCTACTAGCAACAAAGGGCATCGCTACTAGGAGCAAGAAGCTACTAGTAGCTCCTGGCATTACTACTAGTAGCAAGGACGCTACTAGTAGCTAAGTGCATTACTACTAGCTTATATTGCAGTCTCAGTGATCCCATGAAGCAAGGAGGACCATGTGACCATGTCAGAGCCCAACTGGTTAATAGCAATGCTTCAACCAATATGTACTTGGACTGCTGGGCCTGTCAAACTAACACCAGTTTAAATACCAAGTCCTCTGCATCCTCTGAGTTGCAGAAGGGATTCCAAAAGGCTTTCGTGAACGGACACATGGAGGTTGCCCCACAATCATAGCTGCACTGCCCCAGGAGAAAAAAAAATCAGTTTCACCAAATACAATGATACAACTTACAGTATGTGTTTGTCTCAAATCCAGACCCTTGGTCTATTGTCCTTGTTCCAGCGGGTCGAACAGGCTTGCAAATCGAGTTGGACGCTCAGGGCATGCAGATTGTGTGGAGCTGGCCGTTGTGGGCTCTACGGTGGGAAGCTCAGCATCTCCGCAATGGCTCAGCATCTGGAGCATCGTCATGGTGGGAAGTCCAGGCGCCTCGCGCTTTGCACAGCGCTGGGGCTGACTCCACGATGAACGGAGTTGTGACTCCGAAAGGCTCGACTTGCACGTCAGTGCAGTCTATTGTATGGGTCACCGCGTCCTGAGGATGCCAACCTGGGCCATTGGATGGAGGCCTTCACCTTCTGATCCAGTCGCTCAATGGTGCGGGTGCCAGCGAGGACACCCGAGGCAAGTGGGATACAACGAACAAATCGCAGAACAAATTAAATAGGAAACCCAAAGAATGAACATTGCATCGCAACCGAACATGTTGAAACAAAGGATAGCAAAAGTGCGAACCAAAACGACCTTTTAGCCATGTTTCCCGGATTTTTGCAGAAGTCGCTGGCTTCCGGCACTCACTCTCTATCACTTGTTCAGTTACGGCTCAGCATATTCTTGTTGATCCCATGAACCAGGAGACATTTCTCCCTGCTGTCGGCAAATTCACCTTCCAAACTCACTCCGCGTCGCTACCTCAAGTTTGTATTGACCAGCTCTTGGCCTATTTCATCAAAAGGTGCACTCCGGGTCTCAACTTGTTACATTTGTTTGCATTGTTTTTGTGTTGCCTTTGTGTGAAGGACATGTTTGTATAAATGTGCGAAGCAAGTCCAACCCCCCCGACATTGAAACCAGTTCAGAATCTGACGGGCTTGGCATGTGACTTTGCATTCTCATATTTGTTGCACTATGAGTGTATCATCGTGCAACAAAATATATAAAGGAACACCAGCTGGCTGGTTGACCCAACATAAATGATCGTCAATGCCACAGCTGGTGTCGGTGAGGCCTGGTTGCTCTCAATGGACATGTCCAAATTCTCCACAATTTTACAGTCTACAAGAAAATGGCTCGGGGGTAGTTGAGTGTGTTAGTGGTAGCCCATTGCTACCTTATCATACCTTATATACACAACGGTTTCAAACAAAACTGTGTGCCAATATTATTGTCTGGGCCCCATCAGTGTTCGATCGTTTTCGATGTTTTGAACAGCTCATGCCCTGGGGTATTTTTCTTGCCCAGAAGGGTATCCGCATAGAGTTGGGGCCTCTATCAGTTCAGATATACTCAAGGCAGCTCCTTCCTGAAGTACAATTATATAAGTACAAGTACGGAAGCTTCGTCTGCTCATAAAAGTTTTTCGTGCGCCAAACAAACTCAAGAAGAATCTAGCCTGCTGGTGTGACTGGTGTGCCTTGCTGGGTGCGTTTTTTCGAAAATCATCCACTTCCAATTGAACAAACGAACGCTCTGGGTGCTCCGGGCGGGGTGCTGATCATCACCCAAGCCCAAGGATTGCACACGCTGGCCGCCCAGCTTCTCAAAGGCTGTATCAATCCGCTTGGCTGCCTGCCGGGCCCCGTCGGAGTTCTCGTCCACCGCTGGAACCCATGCCAAGACCCGGCAATGACTCATGGTGCCTCATGCTGAAGTCTTTGACACTGAGAAGTTCACCTGATACTGTATATAATGTATATATTTATATGTATAATATATACATATTGACATATGTAATGTACATACACTGACACTCTTCAGATTGCAAACATGAACTACGGGACTTTGAACAACTTGTAAATTGTAAACCATGCATTGCACTCCAAGGCCATCAGCTACTGTGACATCAAGTACAGTTCCTGATTTAAGAAAACATCTGATCGTAACACGCTGCTCAGGGAAAGTTGTTTGTGGCATCAATGCTCTGCTCATCAAAGAAATAACTTCTTTGGTGAAGTTGGGTATCCATATATGTAGAAAGTGAAAAGCATGCAGCGTGCAAACATGTTGGTGGGGTCATGACACTCTCTTCTTGCCCAGGAACTCACCCCAATTACCCAATCTGCTCTATGCAATGTGGAAGACCCTGGTTGATCCACACTGTACGTAGTCTAAACCTGCTTCTGCACAACAGGCACTACCCAAATCATCACCAATCGACTACCACCTCACGCCACTTTCCTGGCCTCATTGAAGAAGACGTAGGAGGAGTCACCAAGACCAAAGACTGCAAACTTGGTGTCCTCACACTAGGTGTCACTAGCCGTCCGAAAACGGCAAGGGACGCCAACGGGACCCTTTCAGGGCGAGATCAACTCTTTCATCGCAAAGATGGCCAAGGACAAAGTTCAAACCACAAGCTTCAACTTTGGCGCATTAACGTTTGTGGCGATCAATTCAATAAAGTGCAATTAGTTACTTACATGTCACACAAATCTCTGTGGATCCTGGCCGGAAGCACCGCTGCAGCAACACTATAATATAACTTTCAGGGACTCTCTGAAACCCCGTCTTGGTCGATGCCAACATGACTTGCGAGCATATGGTACGGAATCTGTGTAAATGGCCAAAGATGGCCAAAGCAAGCTCATGAGAGTCCACAAACAGAGTATCACCCCCATCAGAATCAACATTTCTACAAGACAGATCACAAACCATCCTCTGTTTATAAATGGACACTCATGGAAACTCCATTCCTACAAAAGCCTCCCCGGACATTCATTCAATCATGTGTCCGACAGAAGCCCGGTTGACATAGCAGCATGTTCGTCCTTAAGATAGTCCGCCGGAGCAGTCTCAAGGAAGGTCTCCATGTCCTCAAGGTGTTCACGGTGAACACTTGTTCAAAAGGTCAATGAGGGTCTTCGGCTGTTCACCATCAACTACCGGCTGTTTCCGTGTCACGGGTGACATGTTTCGGAATCTAGCTAACTTGAATATGCCTGAAGTGAGGGGGTTTACGTATCTGAGCGAAAGTACACAACGAGGTGTGAATCGAAGTAGAAGGCGTGCTGGGTTGGACCTGCAGCGTTCTATGCTCATTCCAAGAAACAACTTTAGTAGGGACAGTAGGGCGATATAGACAATTAAGGGCACATATTGGGGAATTGTTTTCCAGGGGCACTATAGTGGCTGACTTCTATGCTGCGGATGAACCGCTGACAGGACCTTCCACATTCCATGTTGCTTAACGAAGTCCCCATCCCACAAGAAGCGCACATGTGTCACGTGAAGCACACATGTACACAGGAGTGAGTACCCTCATGTGGGTCTTGAATTGAGCACCAACAAAAGACTTGATCATGCTCATTGATGGGAAAAACATCGTCCAATGTTTGCGTGCATCGTTTTTGGATGTATTATGGTTGCTTTGCCAAGCTACACCAGTTCCCGCGAATCACTGGATGATTCTGTGCGCAAAAGAACTCCAAACATTGATGGAAAAACCCTGGCACCGCACCGCTGTAGGACTATGGCAAATACACTGGACAAATACTCTGGGACAGTAGCAGTTCCAGGGTTTCGTTGTGTTTCTTGGTGAACCAATTTACTTAGGCTGAGACCATGAAGTTGACCCAAGTATATAAATGGTAGATACCTGTAATGGAAACACAACAAACAAGTAGACCCGCCACAATGTGCAAAGCCTCCAAGTAGGACTCTTATAGATGGAGAGGAATCGCCCATAAAAAATGCACATACACCCCAACGATACTTTGATACTGATATGCTTTGTCTGCAGGATGACTCAACCTCTGCACATGTTCTGCGTGGTCATTCTCCACTTCACCATGGAATGTAATTTAGGACAATTCCAGTGCTCATGGCGCAACCCAAAAAGGTATCGCCACGAGAAGCGCACAAAAATGCGAAACTGCAAAACCCAATCAAAAAACTGGATATGGCTATATATATATATATTATATATATATAAGAAACAATAGCTGCCGTCCTCGAACAAAACTAGTACGTCCACACAGGCACACACATGTGCAAGAGAGGTTGGTCCAAACACCCATACGATCAGGGCGAGAAACAAGACAACACCAACTGTTCCATGCCGTTTGCCATGGCCCAACCTCACAATGCCTTAAAAGCTATCACGATCTCCACACTCGTCCTGCCAAAACTTCACCGCGGACTTGGGCATTTCGCCCTGCCCAGCTGTGGCCACGATGGCCAGCACTTTGGACTCCTCGAGATGTGAGAAGAACTGATGGCTTTTTGCTTACAATAGGAATGGCCTCCAACCTAATAGGCATGGCCTCAAACCCAATAGCGATGCCCTCAAACCTAATTGCAATGGCCTTTTATAGCAATGGCCTTGAACCTTAAAGCAATGGCCTCCAACCTAATAGCGATGGCCTCCAACCTAATAGCGATGGCCTCCAACCTAATAGCGATGGCCTCCAACCAAATAATAGCAATGGTCTCCAACCTAATAGCGATGGCCTCCAACCAAATAACGATGGCCTCCAACCAAATAGCGATGGCCTCCAACCAAATAGCGATGGCCTCCAACCTAATAGCTATGGCCTCCGACCTATATAATAGCGATGGCCTGCAGCCTAATAGCAATGGCCTCCAACCAAATAGCAATGGCCTCCAACCAAATAGCGATGGCCTCCAATCAAATAGCGATGGCCTCCAACCTAATAGCGATGGCCTCCAACCAAATAGCGTGTCATGGTGTGTCCGTGAAAAAGGTGCAGTTGGGGGGAATCAGGTTCGCTCCTGGCAAGCTTTTGGAAGATCGGGTTCAATCCACTCAAAGGTGTGTATGGTTCAGCCAACCACCTACAGTTTTTTGTCAAACAGTTGCACTGCAACCCACGTGAAACATTTGGATCCCCACAAAGGAACCGGTCTTGGCTATGTGTTGACCATCAACGACTTCAATGCTTCGCGATGGCACCTTAGGTCCCTGGCCCACTTGTGACACTTGTGGGCTTTCAATGGTTTTCACCTGCTCCCGATGCTCACCCGGCACCCCGCACTCACTCGGTCTTCCTCTGCCAAGTCAGAGATCGGCATGTCGTTCAAGGAGAGACACTTGGCTTTCATTCCTTCTGCTGCCCGAAGCTGTGAGGTGAACAACAACAACAACAACAACAGGAGGTGCCCTTTCCAAAAAATCAAACACCCGATTTTAAGAATCCTTGGTGTGCCTTGTATAGAAACAAACAAAACACAATAAGTTGAGATTGTGAGCACAAGTTTGAAAGACTGTCCACACGGTCGTGGCATGAGTTCCACTGGACGTCGAGTAATGACACGGGCATGAGGTGAGAGGGGTCACCACCAGCAGCTCCTTGTGCTATTTTGAGGTGTGAGACAAAATGATGAAATTCTGCATATCAAACATGAAGGTTCTGCATACCAAACATGAAGGATCTAGAAGCAGTCGCTTGCAGTCTCTGATGTCATGGCATCCAGCATGAGGATAAACAGTCGAAACAGCACCTGCATTAATGCATCAGCCAGTCGACTCACACTTTCTTGGGTATCTTGAGTTGCAATGAGTTCCCGGACTTTCTCTGTCAGTATATTTTTTACATTCCTAACTGGGCTTGTCTCCCAATGATCGCACATTTTGAACGCCTGCTGTTGCTGGGGAACCTTTAAAATTAAACCAGGAGCCCCTAGTAGCGTCCTTGCTCCTAGTAGTAAGGCCAGGAGCCCCTAGTAGCGTCCTTGCTTCTAGTAGTTCACTGCTTCGGGTCCTGAGACCCTGTGTTGACTTTGGCTTCTCAATCCTGAGACCGTAGCAGCAGCTTTCAGCAAGACGCCCGCGCCTCGTCGCTTGAACTCGAACTGAAAGTTCTTGGCCACCATTTCGGCATTTCCTGGAGCGCTTTTGTGCGGGGCACTGCTAAAGCGCAACTGCTTCAGTTACTAGGAGCTGTACTGGTGGATGAACGTTGCTGACTCGCTTCTACACTTCATCTGGGGCATCCGCTGATGGTCATAGAAAGCAAGTGGGGCGAACGACAAGTTGTGGAGCTAAGTTGTCGGTTGCAGGATTTTGGGCGGATGGTTGGAATGTCAGCTCGGAGAAGATGCTAGAAGCTAAAGTCCGAGAGATGGCAAACATAACTCCAAAGTACATGTATGCATCTTGGCTCTCGTGTAAGAGCACGCAACAAAGGCCATGGTATAGCCCGAACAAACAGTATTATTCTGCGAGAGGCAGTTGTGGTCATACTTTGTTAAGTTCCTGGTCGGTGCACACTACGAAGACACCGTTCCTCTCCCATGTGCGTCAACGTGTCTCATCCGAGCCAAAGAACACGTGCACTTCACTTCTCCGACTTCGGCTCCGCCGCAGTTTCTCTTTCTATTGAATTGCACATGGTTTGGGACTGCATCCAAGACAAATCTTCTCTAAGAACATGAGAACACAACACAACAACTTCTTCAAAACGGTTGTGAAGAGAACTTGTTTGCCGTGGCAATGTAGATCTACTTGTAGATGTTGTTTTTCCTCTACTCGCTGGGGCATCTTCCTCTGGCTTGACACTGCTCTTGACAAAAAGGTGGTGGAGTCCATTTTGGCATCAGTGTAGTGAAACAAGGATGCCAAAATCATCCGATATCCACACAGCAAATTAATTACTGTAGTCACTGCTTAACTAGTGACCATGGGAGTTGACAGGTCCACTTTGTACTTTTTATCAAGTTCCCTTGCAATTTTGTGGAGTGTAGTGAGTGTAGTACCACGGTGCAATGCACTCCATTGTTATATTGAAATATATAGAATATATGAATCATCCGGAGCTCAAGCTAATTTTGTCCTTGCTTTCTGTTTATCTGTGAGGACACCCCAATCTCTGTGCAACCCCTGAGCCACCCTGCAAGGCGCTTCACTGACGTTCAGGAAATGTTGATCCAATGATTTTGCTATTGAGGATCAAACCCCAAGAGTAAACACGTCAAATCCAGTCTTTTTGTATCACAGACCAGGGCAGATCAGCGCAGGGGATTGGCCCTGCACCGCCGTTGAGTTGCAAACTCCATTCATGCAGTCGCATCTTGCCCACCTGTGTCAGTTCCATAGAGCACCGTGACCCGCTCGCCTGTGACCTGGCAATTGCTCGCCAGTTGGGAGGAAAGGGCGAGGATTGAATTCCTTTTATGCCTGCATTTGCAGGTAATGAATCCGCGCCAATGAAAGCGTCCTTGACTAGTGACTGGAGCTACAAACACGTATCAGAACATGTGTATATATATAATATATATATATATATACTATAAGAATCACATTTCGCATCACAGGGTCTGGAATACATGCAAGAATTCAGGAACTTGGAATTCCTTTGAGTTCTCCGTCCGACAAAGCCCATTTTTAGCATCTTTCCGCTTTTCTTGCTGGGGAACCGAAACATCTTCACACGTTACACACCAGTCGGTCGCTGAGGTCAGCGGCTTGGCCCACCGAGTGAGGTTTTGAAACCATGTTGAACTGTTTTAATCAGCATTGTTTTTGTCGAATCTCCTTTAGGACTGTCTGTCCAGGGCAGGGCCAGAGACATAAGCCCCGAATCAGATTCAAACATGAGATGGAAGACGTGGCAACTATTGGCAACCAAACAGGCACGAGTGATCGAAGCTTGCCAGTTATTATTCCCTAGATCAGGAGCGGCGAGTTGCGGCGACTGTGAGGGTTACACTGAGACTCGATCCTTGATCGTCTCTGATTGATTGCTGAGAACGTTTTGCTTTTGACACTCCACATGGGTAGCCATTGGGGATAAAGGTTCCCTAGTATTCGACAATTGGCAGGTCAATAATGTTGACTCTTGATTAATCAACCCCCCCCCCCCCCCCCCCCCCCAACAATTGGGGCCTCTAGAATAATATGCTAGAAAAACAATCAATTGATAATTAAATAAGGAATCCTTAGCTAGCTACCTCTGGAGCTACTCTGGCAATACTAAAGTGAAAGGAATCATTACTTAGCTATCTCTGGCAATATTAAAAATGAAAGGAATCATTACTTAAGAACATCAAATCTCAATGGAAATCTCAAAAAATAATAGACTTTTGCATTCAAAGACCTTCAAAATCATCAAATCTCAATGGAAATCTCAAAAACTTAAATAGAAATCTGTATTCAAAGACCTTCAAAATCATCAAATCTCAATGAAAATCTCAAAAACTTAAATATAAATATGTATTCAAAGACCTTCAAAATCATCAAATCTCAATGGAAATCTGAAAAACTTAAATAGACATCTGCATTCAAAGAGCTTCAAAATCATCAAATCTCAATGGAAATCTGCAAATCTCAATGGACATCTGCAGAAACTACACAAGCAGCAGCAACACAACAGAAGCAACAATAGCACCATTGAGACTTTCAGATGGAGTTTCAGGTGGACTTTCAGGTGGAGACTAGCTCTCTAGAATCTAGTTTGTTCAAGTCTTTGAGCTTTAGTTCAAGTTTCCAATAACCAAATAACCTTGCAGGAGATGCAGTTGTGGATATGTTGAAGAAACATCCTTTCAAGAAGAAAGAGAAGGAAGATAAGAAAGAGAAGAAGGATTGAAGAAAGGTAGAAGACAGGATTGAAGGCCTGAGGAAGCTAGCTAGTTTGAGACAGGTTTAAGGCAGAGTGTCCAAAACAGGTTTGCAGCTTGAAGAATGGGGTTCAAGAATGGTTTGGTAGAGAGCTTCCAGTGTGAAGGGTTTTGCAAGGGTGCAATTTGAAGAATTTTTTGAGGGAGCTGCAGCTTGCAGCTTTCAGTTGAAGTTTTCAGCAAGATGTTTTGCAGTGGTTTGCAGCTTGAAGAAAGGATTTTAGAATTGTTGTGTAATTAGAGAGCTTGCAGTTTGAAGGGTTTTGCAAGTGTGCGCTTTCAAGATGTTTTTCCAGGGAGCTGCAACTTGCAGCATTCAGTTGAAGTCTGTTTTGCAAGGGCTTGCAGCTTGAAGAATGGATTTGGAGGGGGTTGCAGCTTGCAGCATTCAGTTGAAGCTTGCAGCAACAGCAGCTTTCAGCTTTTTCAAGTGGGCCTTGCAGCGCGTGACTTTCAGCCTGGGATTTGCAGCACCTTGAATGACATTGGCACAGCTTTCTTTTTGAGGTTTATTTAAGCCCCAAGTGTTCTTAAAGACATGTTTTGAGTTCAATTCATTGTGCACCTTGTTCAGGCCATGGCTTTCAGCAGCTTCTTGGAGAAGATTGCAGGTGCCTTTGAGATGCTTGGGTGGATTCTAGGCCACCTTGCAGTGATCTTGACAGCTTGGCTGGTTGGAGTTGGAAGCTTGGAGGAAAATCAGCTATTGTTTTTCTTTAAAGCTTGGAGATTGGTTTGCAGCTTGGAGACAACTATTTCTAGTCTCAAAGAATGTTTAAAAGCTGTGAAGGCATTGGCCACTTCCAGCTCCTCACCCCCTTTGCAGACTGGAATGGCTTTGCAGGGGCTTTGCAGGTGTCTTTGCAGATTGAAGCTGGGTTATATTTTAGTAAGTCTTCAGTTGCTGTGGTCATTTGCTTGGTAGTGTTTTGAAGTGTTTTGCATTGAAGTGACATTACAAATCACATTTTGAGCCCAGCTCAGGTGCAAACATTTGCAGCGTGCTTTGGAGTCTTCAAGCTGGTTCAAGGGTGTGGCACTTTGAAGTCTTGCTTGGAGAATCTTGAAGGCATCTTTGAGTACACTTACAGCATCCAAGCAGACTGCACCTACATTGGGCAGAAGGTCTGCTATATTGAAAGCAGCATCTCAGATGGATTATCCCTATCATTTTGTAGTTAGTTTGTTTTTCTGTTTTGCTTCTCTTTCAGTTTCAGTTTTTATTTCAACTCTCTTTGGGTCAGGACAGGATGCTGCATCTGGGAAGTGCCAAGACACCATTAGGCACCTTCAGCAGCACTTGCTGACTTTTGATCCCAGCAGCTTGTATTTGTCTTAACAAGCTATTTTTTGAAGCTTTGAGTTTGCAGCAGGGTCTCAAGTTGATATTTATGTTTATGATTGTAGTTATAGTTGTGTTTTGTTTATGCTTTGCAGAAATTATGGTTTCTCTTGCAGTTTGATACTTCATTGCAACTAAGCGCGTGGTGGTGGGCAGCTCTTCAAGTCTGGGCTGCTGGACATGAGGCCACCATACAATGGGTCCAGCTGTGATGCCTACATGTGCCTTTGGCTTTCTTAGTTGAAGTTCTTTTCTATTTTGGCCAGTTCAAGTTTTTGGTCTTTTCTATTTTTGTAATTTCTTTTAATTGAAGTTTTTGATCACTGCAATTGAAGCAAACAATCAAAACAAGCCCAGGGCAGAGTGGGACCTGATGATTTGGGAGAGCGCGACTGCATTGCAGAACGACATCTTCTACAAGAGGTTCCAGCATGCATCTTGGATGTATTTAATGTGTGTTTTGTATTTTTTTCCAGGTATCCACTCCCAATCCATAGGTTCAGAATTTCTTTCAGCCATACACAGGCCAGTGTTGGAGAGCAGCAGACTGTTGAAGAGCTGGAGGCAGATTTGAAGGTCTTGCAGAACACTTGCAGGCCAGAGATCAATCTTGTGAAGTTCTTTCCAGACACTTGTTTGGCATGTGATGTAACTTTTCTGTTTCTTTTTTCTAGGTGTTCTTTTGTGAGTGTACTTAGATGAGAGCATGAGGTTTCTTCCAGAACCTTGTTTGGCATTTGATATGTGTTTCCAGGTGTTCTTGTAATTAGAGAGTTTATTTGATTGAGAGCAGCCTCATTTAAGGCCAGGACTTTGGAGAATCTTGCAGCTACTTGCTCTCCTTGGAGTCCCCTTCCAGAGATTCTGCGTTACAGGCAGACCAGGCTTCAAGATGCCCAGAGACTTAGAATCTGAACCTTTCAAGTTTTCATTGATTGTGTTTTCTCAGGTTCAAGTTTTTGGTTTCTTTTGAAGTGCCTAATTCCTCAACTCAGGGCAAAGGCTGCAGCTATGGGCTTGGAGTGGGGGAAGCTTGCAGTTCTTCCAGAAGTTGAGCCTCTTCCAGATTGGAACACTGGCCTTCAAGTATCTTGGACCTTTTTGATTTTGTTCTTTGTTTTGCAATCTTTTTGATTTAGTATTTTTGCAATCTGTTTCATAGTTTGGTGTTTTGTTCTAGCTTGGCTTTCAGTTTGTTGTTGGCTGGCTTGTGCATCTAAGGTGGAGCTTCTGAGGGAGATGGCGCGTGGTTGGAAGAGTCAGGGGTCTTCAAGTGGGGATATGATTCCAGATCCCCAGACTTTGAAGACCCAGGATTTGGAGCCAGCAAAGTTGCAGGCTGATTTGCAGGCCTTGAAGCCAGTTTCTTGAAGAGCTGGTTGCAGAGCTGATTGCAGGAGTCAGAAAACCTTTTGGAGTTGCTTTATGTTTGCTTTTTCAGTCTTTCAAGACTTTCAATACTGAAATTTGAAGACTTTGGAGTTTCAAGACTTTCTATTTGAAGAGATCCAACTGGACTTTGAAGGTTTGAAGACTTCAAGCTCTTTTTCAGTTTTGAAGGATTGTGCCCATTCATTGCTAGTATATAGTCACTTATGTGTTCAAGGTGTGTTCAAGGAGGAAGCAAGCTTTTAGAGTTGGTTTCAGGGCAATGGTGCGTGTATCCTTTGAGGGCTGCCATGGTTGGCTTTGGATTGAAGCATTCTTTGAATTGGGCATGGGTCTTGACTCCATCAACTTTGAGGTTTCCAGATGGTGTTTGAGAAACAACAGGTGAGGGTTCAGAAACATTTTATATAAATCAATATGTTAAACATGTTGCAAATCAGTCTTCAGTTTCAAGAGATGTTCAACATGTTCTTTTTTGGAACTCCCTCACAAGGTGGCAGTGGTACTCTTTGAGCAGGGAAGAAGTTCAAGATTTGGAAGATAAGTCTTTTGAGTGGGAGAATGAGTGTTGGAGCTTTGCATTTGTACAAAGGATTTCCACTGACTTACAGAGTTGGAGTACTTATATGGAAGCATTAACTTTAGAGCAAGTTAGGGTTGTCATTGCAGTCCATTACATGGACATTCATCCTAACCGCGTATGTGCCTTTGGAAGGTTTAGGGATGCAGATGGTTGGGCATAATCCTTCCAGAGCTGGCTCCTTGCAGGTGA